TATGGCTGTTTTTGTGTTGTTTTGAAGATATTTAATTACCCATGTGAACTAAAGCTGAGCAGAAAGCACCTTGAACAGTGGAAAATGACACCACCAGGTCACATCTGAAGAAAAACCCAACAAAAGATGAGTCTTTTTTTTCTGTGAGTCGGTAAAGGTCAGGATTCAGAGGGAATATGTGATAAAGCGGGGAGATTTCGGCTGAGAGGATGGAGCTCAGGAAGCAATCTTTGCCATGACGACTATACTAACAGCTAACAATCATAAAACCATTCACCATAGCAACAGAGGAGAGGAGTCTGCATAGGAATATAAAAAAACCATAAAATGTAAGCGTCGTGATAATCTGCCGTTTCCGCTTTCTGTTCCCACAACGAGTGATCAATAAAGGCCACCACGGTTAAAATGAAGTGATTTTACCTCGAGCCGCATTAAACTCCTGGATGCTCTCGGGTCATAAATGTAAAATTTACACGTAAAGCTTTTGCTACAAGGCATCCCAAAGAAGCTGCACTGGAAGTGTCCATCTGTGGCAAACGGCTGCTTTTATTATGTTTGGATGCTTTCAGTGAGACTCATTACTGCTTTACTGGGTAATCTGCTTTTTATTTCTAACAAAGTGAGGCTAAATCTTTCTTTAACCCAGTCCAGTTTAAAACTATTTGGAGTAAAATCAGAGGGAACACTTCCACGCTGCGAATATTTCAGACCAGTCTGAAACACCCTCCGTCCGTTTTAAGAGCTTTTATTCACCCAGATTCTTTAATCCAACATTRTTGTTTTCATTTGTACCTGAAATATTTCTGTTCAAGGCACACATCTGTTACACTGTCACTCCAACGAATTAATAATTTCCTTCGTAAGTCTCGCAGGGATCTGTGTGCAGCACAGATTTTATAGCCCATTAGGGAAATTAGTTTTTTGGGTCATATGAATTTGGCTCGACCCAGTTAAGTTTTGACTTTTGGCTAAAAACAGCTAATTTAATCGGACAGGCGATTAAAAGGAATTCTTGGCTWAGACTTTTAGCCAGTATTTATTAAATTACACTTTAGCATGGGTTTAGCTGTGCAGGTTTGTGATTTTGATTGGAAGTAGCTGATTTAAAGTCAGCGTGAACAAGAAAAAAAATGTGTGAAGTATGAAAATAAATCCGTCAGGTTTCAATGTATTTTACACATTTATGCGAGCTTAAATCAGTGGTTTGTCATGTAGCACTGAAGTCCTGGGTCACAACATAAAAACAAAAAATGACACAAAGTTTGTGGCTTTTTCACTGCAGCACCAGCAGGCGGGGCAATCTAAACCTGAAAGTGTTTTAGTTTTTATTTGTTTTATATTTATTTTTCAGTTTATCWAGAATGTGCTGCTTTGCTAAAAACAAATTGCTCAAAGTACTAACTCATAAATCATTCATACCTTTGTCTGTTAGCAAAATATTTCTTGAACAACCGGTCTAATGTTGATGGAACTCTCAAAAACAAATCACTGATTAAAATTTGGAATCAACGTGATTCAATTTATCCAGAAAAAAAAAAACGACTTTTGGTTGCACCGGTGCGCCTAACTTTTTTTTCTTGAGTGCACAAAAGTTAGGTGCAAACAAATTTTTAACCTCATTGCATTTAACATCGCTTTTTGTTTTTATTTTTATTTTTATAACTGTCCATTAACGTAATATTAACACGCAAATAACTAGTTAATAACCATTTAAACAGAGTTTTTTTATTCGAACCAGAATCGTATAAGACATATAACCTACTGAAAAGTTTTCAAAGTGATTCTATGTCCTGAAATTTTAATTTAATTGTGGTGAAATKGATTACGTGCAAAAAGGGCCTGCCATACCGTTGAGCTTCCTGATGATCTGCTGCAAAAGCTGACTGTTAAATTAGCAAGATGGGCTTAAAAGAAAGCAAACGTGCACATCTTCTTTTCATCTCTGCAATTAACAAGAACAAAACAAATTTCTGACTACATTTTTAAAATAACTACAGTTGTTTAAAGGCACAGTGTGTAGGATTTTGTCAATTCCTTTAGCCGAAATAGAGATAATCACTAATGGTCTTTTTTGTTTGTTTGTTTGTTTTAAGATAGACAAGAAAGAAGWCGAAAGAAAGGAAAAAAGAAGTAAAGGAAAGAAAAGTTACAATGTAATGGAAAAAAGTGAAAGAAAGAATTGAAGATATGTGAGATATACGTCAAGAAAACAATTCAATACATCCAACATCTGTCTGCACACCTGCAAAGAATTAAGGTAACAAAACTTTGCAGAAGCATACATATATACATTCAGACAGATAAATAAACACCCACATATATATACCTGGTGCCTCATGTACAAAGACTTGTGTGGATTTCTTACTGAAACCTGTTGTACGATCAAATCCAGAAAACGGCGTACGCACAAAAAAAATCCAGATGTATCAAACTGTGCGTATGCC